TGTTTGTTTGATTATGTGACTGGTACCTATTTGTTTGTTTGTTTGATTATGTGACTGGTACCTATTTGTTTGTTAGTTTGATTATGTGACTGGTACCTATTTGTTTGTTAGATTATGTGACTGGTACCTATTTGTTTATTAGATTATGTGACAGGTACCTATTAGTATGTTTGTTTGATTATGTGACTGGAACCTATTTGTATTGTAGTTTGTTGTGTAACAGATACCTATTTGTTTGTTAGTTTGATTATGTGACTGGCACCTATTTGTATTGTAGTTTGTTATGTGACTGGTACCTATTTGTATTGTAGTTTGTTATGTAACAGATACCTATTTGTTTGTTAGTTTGTTATGTAACAGATACCTATTTGTTTGTTAGTTTGTTATGTAACAGATACCTATTTGTTTGTTAGTTTAGAGGAACTGACAGATACAGACACGGAGTATACACCTGTGAGAGTCCTAGGAGAATTTGACCACCAGATGGAGCGATATATCTACCCACGTCCCAACGTCCAGGACATAAAAAGTTCTGAGGTGAAGGGCATGGGGGTCACACCGAGTCGAGGTGGAATGCTGGTTGTTACACCGTTTAATCTCAAAGACAGAAAGTGAGTTCTATTAATATCAGTATGGCTACCCCTACTAATAAAACTTGGGCCTTGTCTTTTTATTAGTCCACCTCTTTATCCTATATCTTTGGGGCATAATAAAATAAGACTTAATAAAACTATCTTATTGAGTGTACAATTCCAGGAAAAAGTGGGAAAACACGGCAAATCTCTTCCAAACGTCTGAATTTATTGGAGCAACATGCACCGTTACAAAGAGATTTGCCGTGTTGTTCGCACTTTTTCCTGGATATTTACTTAAACCAGTGTGAACTCTGTATACCTTCTCGTTATCCACGGTATAATCGACGAAGAAATAGAAGATACAGAAGATATATAAAGTGTAAACATGTATATCATTTCAGAGAAAGAATACTCATCAACAGGGGATGGATTTCAAAGACGAAAGTAGACCAAAGAACGAGGTCAGAAGGACAGGTACGTATACAATAGTCAGTGTATAAAGCACATAGGATGATGGAAACATTGGCTTTGATAGGTCCCATAACAGGAACCATTTTGAAAAATTGAAAACTCAAAAAAAAATCTGATAAAGAATTGTCATTCTCTCCCAACATTTCAGCCTCCTTGCCTTCTTCAAGGGCTAAAGTCAACAATGAATTTAAGATACGTCAATCTTGTTTCTTCAGAAGAAGCTTTTAGGTTACCAGAAACTAAGTCACATGTGACCAGTTGCAAAAGCCTTGTAAAATTGTCTGGATTCGCCCTTATTTTATGGTAAACAATTCACTTTTTCAAATCTTTCTAAAAGCGGCAGCACTGAGTTCACAATCCATGACCAAAAACAAACAATTTTTTTTATTTATATTGTTCCCTTTCTCAGGCAGGGGCAGAGTCCAGAGCAAGAAAATTGCCTAAACAATTTAAAAGCCAAAATTCTACAAGAAAATAATGTAAAATTAGGTATTTTTGTGGGGTTCTTTTATGCTTTTCTATAAAAAAAAAACCGACATTTAAAGGATAGTAAGTGAGGACAGTTCTGAAAAGTGAAAACAGATCCCATTGAATATTCATATAGACATGATAATCAGCTTTTCAATCTGAAAATTCATGTTGACTATCTTCATTCATGCACCTGCGATAGTGATGAACAGTTTTAGCAGTTAAAGTTTCATTTACTGTCAAGTGTTAAATATGTCATTACTTGGTGATTCAGTGGAGCAGTTTGTGTGTGTGATGTCTGGTTATGAGAGACTTTAAAATCACCAGCTATTTGAAAGTTTTTTCCCTTCACATTGAAAATATATTTGTAACAAGAGGGCCAGAGGGCCTGTATCACTCACCTGGATACCAAAGCAATCATGGCAAAATATTCTCCGAATGAGATCAAGGGAATATGTCAGACCCCAAGGCCAATCCTTGTAGCATATCTGTATTAGATTCTTCATGCCCAGCAATTTTATGTATGGTTATGGGGTGGGGATCTCAACTGTTTCCAAGCTTTGACTCAGAAACTAGGTCCCTAGGGTTGTGGCCAGACCCCAGGATCAATTCTAATATCGTGA